GCGGTCCCATGGTCGGCGCTGGCCTCAGGAGAGTGGACGGAGGAAGGCCCGGGTGTGGCAGGACGCCACCCTAAACAACCCCTTCTTGGCCCACCCACCACCGCCCACACCCGCCCCCGCTCCAGTGCCACACTTGAGAGAGAACAACATCATCTTAGATGGTAGGCTCATCTATCAACATTTTCAATTTTCTTTTTTTTTCTTTACGGAAAGCAGCGAACTTGGTTGCAACTTTCAATACACACTGTGGTTATGTTGCATGCTGAAGTCATGACAAAGGAATATGATTAATGCGCGTTGATTTGTTTTAACATTTATAATATATTCTACGATATTATATGATGTTTACCCTGTAAAAGATTTACAGTAACTGAAGCATTTTGGTCTTTATCTTCCTCCTCCTCACAGAAGACTACGATGACGAGGATACAATCGCTCCCCACCTGTTCTGGCTGCCTCAGTCTCCCGTCATCAAAATCAGTCCCCAACAACACCACCAGCAGCAACACCTCCAGCAGCAACACCACCACCAGCAATACTACCGACAGCAACACCAGCAGCAACAATACCCTCAACAGCGACACCAGCAACTCCAGCAGCACAACCAACACTCCACTTCCCTGGAAGGCTTGCAGCATCTTCTGGAAGGCGGAGTGAGTTAACTTTTTCATTAAGTAAAACTGGGTATTTAAGCATACTTGTACCCTATTCTACACAATACTTACATAGAAGGAACGAAAGATAGATGTGTTTGCTGTCACGCTCCGTCACACAGGATGGAGTGTTGTTTATCAGGTAATGATATATGTAAGTTTGAACTGGGAGACTTCGCATAGGGCAATTAATTAAGATACCGTTAAGAATTCCACTAAGTGTTCAGAAACTATGGCAGCTTCAATTTGTTTTTGGTTTTCCAGCAGAGCAGAAGTTGATATAACTTGGGAACTGGTGTCTCACGGGATGGTCTGTCCTGCACACCGACGAAAATGAAATTTATGAAAATATCATCTAAAAACAAGTTCAGGAGAATCACACACACACACACACACACACACACACACACACACACACACACACACACACACACACACACACACACATACAAGAGTCCGCAGTTCTGAGAGAAACCTTGTAACGACGTTTAGGTCCGTTACGGACAATTATGACTTGATGCTGCCCAGAACGGACTGAAACATCGTCATAACGTTCCTCTCCTATGAGCGTGTTCTCGGTGAAGTGTTCTGGGTACCATACTGACACTTGGTATTCTGTATATATATATATATATATATATATATATATATATATATATATATATATATATATATATATAATATATATATATTTATATGACATTTAAAAGGCATGATCCTAAGTGTACAGAACTGGATTCATAATAATTACCATTTCTTCTGCAGGTGACAGCAGACATTCCTGGCGTCAAGGTCCAGCAGCTGGGTCTCGAGTCTGACACCACACACAAAGATGACCTGGGCTACCGAGCTGGAAACAGACAAGTAAAGCACCAACAGAGGCAAGTAATTAAACCTTACAGCGGCAGCGGCAGCAGCAGCAGCAGTACTCCCCGACTTGTCGATCCAGAAACTCACACTGGCAAGCTACCCGTCGTGAACCCAAACTTTCATAGTGAAGGACTTAGGAACCACGACCACCTCAGTAAGGGCATTACTCACAGCTTGCAGCCACATTTTGTTAGCCACAAGCACTTTCCTGAATTGTTCCTGAGCAACTCTCGTCAATTTCCCCAAGATTTCGATCGACAAAGTAAATTTCCAAACGGATTATTATCAGAGTCATATTTGCAAACTTTTCCTCAAGAAGAACAATTGCCGATTAATGTGCTCAGTGACGACCAGTTACCCAGCCGTTTTATTACACCTGATGTGGTCAGTGATGTGGGGCATCAATTCTCTCAAGACCACATGACATTCCCCGAGCCCTTCATGGACTCTCATGCTCTGGAAGAATTCACTCACCAACAGCCCTTCATTCACCAGCATCCCTTTAGTAACCAAAAGCCCATCGGAGATCAAGAGCCCTTTGATAACCAAGAGCCCTTTGGAAACCAAGTGCAATTCATCGACCAAGAGCCCTTAGGAAATAAGGAGCCCTTCGGAGTCCAAGAGCCCTTCATCGACCCAGAGCCTTTCAGAGACCAGAAACCCTTTGGAGACTTCCGTGATGGAAGTATTGACGTTGTCGACGAGGAGGGTTATAGGGGACTCCCAGTCTCCTTGTCGGAGCTGAATTTGCCATCTTCCAAGGACCTGATCTCCGCCTTCACCAATCCTGAACTGACCAAGGAAGGTCAACGAGGTAGTAGGATTATCAGAGCAACTGTCTCAGAACCAGGTGTTGAATCCCTGTTGTGTTGTTAAGTTCAGCAGGCATTAGGGGCTTCTGGGTCAGCCTGCAGTGTGGTGCTGGTGGGTAAGATCTTCCTGAGTGGTCCGCCTGAGTGCAGGCAGCATCAGTCTAGTTGAGTGCTTGTTGCATCAGTCCAGCTGGTGTTTGCTGCATCAGTCCAGCTGGTGCTTGTTACATCAGTCCAGCTGGTACTTATTGCATCTGTCCAGCTCGTACTTGTATGGTTATTTGTGTTAATGCTTGCAGTAACAGGCTAGCTGGTGTTTGTAGTGACTATTTGTAATGCATGATTCTTCAGTCCAGCAGATATTTGTAGCAGTAGCCCAACTGGTGCTTGTAACAATAGTGTTCGTAGCAAACGTTCAGCCGGTGCTCTATAATAGAAGTCTAGCTGGTGCTCGTAATAATAATCCAATTGGTGCTTATAACAACAATCCAGCTGGTGCTCGTAATAATAATCCAAATGGTGCTTGTAACAACAATCCAGGTGGTGCTCGTAATAATAGTCCAGCTGATGCTTATAGAAATAGTTCGAATTGTGTTTGTAAAAATAGTCTGACTTAAGCTTGTAACAACAATCCAGCTGATGCCTATAATAACAGTCCAGCTGATGCATTTAACAATAGTTCAGCTGATGTCTGCAACAATAGTAAATGTGGGGACTGTAACAAAAGTCCGAATGGTGCTTGGAACACGAGTCCAGTAGTAATTGTAGCAACAGTCCAGTGCCAGTGCTTGTAACAGCAGTCCAGCTGGTGCATGTAGCGAAAATTTATAGTGCATATAGAATCTTTTAACGGTCTAACTGTTTGCAGTGCTTAAAACATCAGTCCAGCTGGTACTTGTAACAAGAGACCAGCTGGTGCTTGTAACAGTAGACCAGTTGTTGAACGTAGTGAACCCACTAAGACCAGAGTGTCGGAGGGTAATATAAAAATCGATTTTGCGTAAACTTTAAAAAGTTGACATTTATTTAAAGATAAACACAGCTATCCAACGCCTGAGTTATACGGACAACGATTACACCGACGGGAAAAAATACTAGCGTGTAAAGCGTTAGCTTGGAGACCTTTTATTAAGCGAGGCTAGATAGGGCAGACTGCGCGTATGACGGACACTATCGCTCTCCTGGCACTAAATTATGCCTATTATGCAAGCCTTGCGAATTATCTATTATCTGTGGCCTTTGGAAGTACGGTTCAGATAAAAAGTCAACAATCATGTAAGTGGCGGACCCAAAATAGACTGAAGACATACCCACACCAAAGCTCTGAAAATGACTCGAGAAGAGGCATGTACTCAGCACATACACAGGCGACCTTACAATGAATAACCAAAAGTACTCGCAAAGTTGATTTATCGTTATTTACAATGATCCCAGTGCACACACACGGTAGTTATCAGACCACACTTTTTGCGATGTGCTGAGGACTGGTAACATAGACGTAACGTCGAGAGATATACGAACATCATCTAATGCAGTTGTCCCCAACCAGCGTGCATTAGTAATAATGAAAATAATATTAATAATAATAATAATCATCTTTATTTCAACAAGTACATGATACAGCTTAAACAAGCTGACATCAATGACATACTATACTATATAGAAAGCCACTTGTTACGCAGAGCATTATGGGCAACTTAGGTCAATTTTGTCCCCACGATCCGACCCACGTCGGTAGGCTAATATCCAGGTACTTACTTTGCTGCTAGGAAACACACTCAATATTTCATCCGTACCGGGGATCGAACCATGGACCTTAATGTGTGAGCCGAGTGCGCTACCAACCGAGCTATGGGCCTCATTAGATTGTCAACTAAGTTATGGGAGCCTTGGCAACACAAGGTGAATTAGCGGAGTAACTAATATGACACACGAATTAAAGACAGAGCGAACCCACAGAATGGATCATAATCAACTAATTTTATTACGAAAATAATCATAATTTCCGATAAGTAACTGATTAACTTGAAAATTTAACACGATTTACCCTTTTACATGTTAAATTACAAAGATAATAAAGTGCATCTGAATATAACAGTTTATCAGTGTTCAGTCTGAATGAATGTTATAAAGAGAGGAGCTCAGAGCCCTCCAGCATTATTATTATCTCAATCTTAATGTGTTAGTTAAGACTGCAGTGGTAGAGCTGGTGTTTGTAGTGAATGTTAGGCATGTATGTATCATCAGTCCAGCTGGTTCTTGTAACAATACCCAGCTGGTGCTTGTAACAATGCCCCAGCTGGTGCTTGTAACAATGCCCTAGCTGGTGCTTGTAACAATACCCCAGCTGGTGCTTGTAACAATGCCCCAGCTGGTGCTTGTAACAATGCCCTAGCTGGTGCATGTAACAATACCCCAGCTGGTGCTTGTAACAATGCCCCAGCTGGTGCTTGTAACAATACCCCAGCTGGTGCTTGTAACAATACCCCAGCTGGTGATTGTAATAATACGACAGCTGGTGCTTGTAACAATACACCAGCTGGTGCTTGTAACAATACACCAGCTGGTGCTTGTAACAATACCCCAGCTGGTGCTTGTAACAATACCCCAGCTGGTGCTTGTAACAATACCCCAGCTGGTGCTTGTAACAATGCCCCAGCTGGTGCTTGTAACAATACCCCAGCTGGTGCTTCTAACAATACCCCTGCTGGTGTTTGTAACAATACACCAGCTGGTGCTTCTAACAATACACCACCTGGTGCTTGTAACAATACCCCAGCTGGTGCTTGTAACAATACACCAGCTGGTGCTTGTAACAATACCCCAGCTGGTGCTTGTAATAATACCCCAGCTAGTGCTTGTAACAATACACCAGCTGGTGCTTGTAACAATACCCCAGCTGGTGCTTGTAACAATACCCCAGCTGGTGCTTGTAACAATACCCCAGCTGGTGCTTGTAACAATACCCCAGCTGGTGCTTGTAACAATACACCAGCTGGTGCTTGTAACAATACCCAGCTGGTGCTTGTAACAATACCCCAGCTGGTGCTTGTAACAATACCCCAGCTGGTGCTTGTAACAATACCCCAGCTGGTGCTTGTAACAATACTCCAGCTGGTGCTTGTAACAATACACCAGCTGGTGCTTGTAACAATACCCCAGCTGGTGCTTGTAACAATACCCCAGCTGGTGCTTGTAACAATACACCAACTGGTGCTTGTAACAATACACCAGCAGGTGCTTGTAACAATACCCCAGCTGGTGCTTGTAACAATACCCCAGCTGGTGCTTGTAACAATACACCAGCTGGTGCTTGTAACAATACCCCAGCTGGTGCTTGTAACAATACACCAGCTGGTGCTTGTAACAATACCCCAGCTGGTGCTTGTAACAATACACCAGCTGGTGCTTGTAACAATACCCCAGCTGGTGCTTGTAACAATACACCAGCTGGTGCTTGTAACAATACCCCAGCTGGTGCTTGTAACAATACCCCAGCTGGTGCTTGTAACAATACACCAGCTGGTGCTTGTAACAATACCCCAGCTGGTGCTTGTAACAATACACCAGCTGGTGCTTGTAACAATACCCCAGCTGGTGCTTGTAACAATACCCCAGCTGGTGCTTGTAACAATACCCCAGCTGGTGCTTGTAACAATACCCCAGCTGGTGCTTGTAACAATACCCCAGCTGGTGCTTGTAACAACAGAGAGACGATAACATCAAATTAAATGTCTGTGACAGTCTTAAATTATTTCACACATGTTCATCAGTAAGTATTAATCAAAACCTTGACGCAACACTTCTCTTCTTTGAAAAATAAAGATTATTCACAAATATGTGTGTTGCTAGAGACTGTGAACATATCATCGGCAAACTTCTTTTAGGTTCGTATATGAGTCAAGGTAAACTTGCATAAAATTTGAGCAGATTGCTTGCTTTGCAAATGCCTCTATGACCTGCATTATCTTGCAGTCAATGATCCGTCAGAAATACTTCACCTGGATCAACTAGTGAAACTTATTATAGATTAGTAAATATTTTCATTTCCTGCTCATGTTTTTGGAAATCGCTAATTAGGTTACATACTTTTTTTTCCCATCCAACTTTACCCTCTGTATTTTGCTCATAACTCGAAAACGTCTCAAACAACCGACATATTATTTTCAACACTTGTGTACTGTGAACAGGACCAAACTCTTGGAATAATTGGGACACGCGCCCAGTGACCAAAGTTTTCGACCCCATTCTCAGTATCCTGGAATGTCTCAGTATCCTGGAATGGCTCAGTATCCTGGAATGTCTCAGTATCCTGGAATGGCTCAGTATCCTGGAATGTCTCAGTATCCTGGAATGTCTCAGTATCCTGGAATGGCTCAGTATCCTGGAAAGTCTCAGTATCCTGGAATGGCTCAGTATCCTGGAATGTCTCAGTATCCTGGAATGTCTCAGTATCCTGGAATGGCTCAGTATCCTGGAATGTCTCAGTATCCTGGAATGGCTCAGTATCCTGGAATGTCTCAGTATCCTGGAATGTCTCAGTATCCTGGAATGTCTCAGTATCCTGGAATGGCTCAGTATCCTGGAATGGCTCAGTATCCTTGAATATCTCAGTATCCTGGAATGTCTCAGTATCCTGGAATGTCTCAGTATCCTGGAATGTCTCAGTATCCTGGAATGGCTCAGTATCCTGGAATGTCTCAGTATCCTGGAATGTCTCAGTATCCTGGAATGGCTCAGTATCCTGGAATGTCTCAGTATCCTGGAATGCCCTCAGTATCCGGAAATGTCTCAGTATCCTGAATGGCTCAGTATCCTGGAATGGCTCAGTATCCTGGAATATCTCAGTATCCTGGAATGTCTCAGTATCCTGGAATGGCTAAAGTATCCTGAATGTCTCATATCCGGGAAAATGTCTCAGTATCCTGGAATGTCTCAGTATCCTGGAATGGCTCAGTATCCTGGAATGGCTCAGTATCCTGGAATATCTCAGTATCCTGGA